ATATTAGATGGGAAAAAGTTCGTGGCATTTTTCCCGTTACATCGGGAAAAACGCCACGAACTTTTTCCCACATCTAATATATTACAATATTATAAAAAAATTTATATACTTATCATATAGACTATTTTTTATATACTTACTATATACTTACTATATAGACATTTATATTGATTTATTTGATACTGTTTTTCTGCATGAATTAATTTTTTTTCTTCTTTAGCCTGTATTACCTTTAGCTTCACGTATTATTAGATATTTCTCTCGATTGCATTATTTTGCTTTTTTTCACTCTGTCAATCGCAATTTTTTTTTCAGAAATTCAGTAATGTGCTGCAAGAGGTGCGAGCGAGTCTCGCGCCTGATTTCGACACGAGCAGAAAGAAGGACACGCGAAGGAAGCTTAAAACGTATCCTTTTTCTCATAATTATTTTAATAATTCGCGGGCCGCTATACTCACGTAATGACATTATCTTATTACGTTATCTTTACACTCGTATTACATTCGCAATTTTATAAAAGCTCGATGATTTTTTGATAATGTTCTCGCCCCTGATAATTTCATTTTTACCACTCCCATTCTCCTTTTCTCGCCCTTTCTCTCCCTCAATCCTCTAATCTATTTTCGAAGTAACGCTGTGTTGGCCTCATATTGACGAGGAAGTTGCATTATTGGGACTTGTAATACACGTTCTCTATCTATGCCAAGAGTGGTTAACCTTTTTGTCTAGCCATTATATGGAGGTTAAGGAAATCTTCGGTGTGTCACTCTGCTACAGAATTAAGTAAAACAAAATCATAACTTTATTTACACTTTCTTCTCTTGCATTGAAAGCAAAAATATTTTTTTCTTTATTTTAACAAAAAAGTTTAATTCTTTTATTGTATTCTGTTTTGATTTAAAATAAATCATTATAAAGTATACATTAAAAAAAACATTCAGTAGTTGTGTTAGAAACATTTTTATGCATTTACTGAATAAAAATGTTTATTTTACTTATTATTTATATCTGGATATTTTACTATATTAATATTTGAAATTATTATAAATGTACATTTTTTTATGTTTGAAAAAAATATCATATATGATTATTATTATTAATATTATAGCAGCAATAACATAAAAATGGAATTCCTATAATAGAGATGGGATCAAATTCAATATGTATTTAAAAGCTTATAATTTAGCTTCATTTTCTAGGGTTCGAATAATAATCGTAAGAAATAATATTAGGTATGGGAAAAAATTCGTGGCGTTTTTTAAAGCCATCTAACGGGAAAAACGCCACGAACTTTTTCCCAAATTACCTAATATTTCGTATTTTATACAATACTTGCAAAGTAATCGATTCCAACTTGTTAGTTTTGAATCTTACAAATGAATACCTACTAAGATTTCGAAATATACTTACAAAGTACTTTTTATCATACAGAATCGAATCTTTTACAAGTAATCCTCGAATTCTAACAGGGCTGTTAGCGAAATACAAAAAAAAATTTTCCTTATCTTTCTTGATTTTTCTGGTCATTTTTTGAAAAAATTCCCTGACTAAGAACTTGAGAAAGAGAAACTTTGAATAAAAACAAAGAAATATGTTAAAATTTTATTTTACAAACAGTATTATAAAATATAAATGGAAAATGAAATAAAGTATAACTTTTATTATTAATTATTATTTAAAAACTTTTTAAATGTTTTTAACAAATTCATATGATATGTATTCATTTTTACTTTCGAGCATTTTTCACGGTACATTTTCAAGGTACATTTTAGCATTTAATTATAGTATAGAGTCTCATTCTTCTTAATCTTGAACGTTTATTATTATTACACGAATATATGTACATTTGAATGTTTTATTCATTATTTGAAGAAAATGCCGGATTTTCGTGGCATCTGATTATAATGTCTTTATTAATGCTCTTTCTTGAGGTTTCTTTGAGGTTTTTATATTGAAATAGTTATTTTATAAATCGATTATAGTTTTACTAATCTCTTTATCGATAAATATCGATACAATCATAGTAGATACATAATTGCAAATCCGAATATGTATTAATCTCAAAAGTGAGAAGGCATTTCGCAAAATTTTTTTTTGCGTGATTATTAATTTTCATAAGTTTCGAGTATACATATTTGATTTAGGTTCGAGTCTATTTAGAAGTACTACTTTATTTTACTCATAGAGGGTTCGAAACTACTTCAGCAGATTCGAACCTACTTGTAAGATACTTAATCGCTAGTTCCTAATTATAATTACTTTATAATGCAATTATACTTACAAATTTCTGTCAATGAAGGAAATATGTAATTAACACGAACTATCAAGAAACAAAACACTCGATGGTACAATGCGATGCAGTGTGCATTATAAATCAGATTCTCGATGCGTTACAATTGTCAGAGATGTGCAGACTCATGTACTTAGGATTATTATTCCCGAAAGGATCAGATTCATCCCTGCGACGTTATCGCGGCGCGATCTCAGATCCATTTTCCTCGTTCTCATAGGAATGAGAAATACCCTTCAGGGGCGAGTTTAAAGCCATGCTGACATCTTCAGACTACAATCTTCCTTGACAACGTTGATATGTTAGACTCGGCGCCACGATAGTTACGCTGGCGAACGGACACGATTCGACGGCAACCCACGTCATCCACACCCGCGCGGAAATTCCGTCCTCGGCTATCCTCGGGGTAAGTTTGAACTAGCATGTTCTTAAACGGCACATGTTCCCGCAAGATTTTCCGTAATTCGTGATTGTATGAAGAATGCGACGAAGGAACCAGCGAGAAATTTAATTTTGAGCAGAACTCCGAGAAAAATCTGTTGAATAAATTTCAGAATAAAAATACTCATCTCTTATGTGTGAAAATCTGTAAATGTTTGAGTTAAAAAATATTTGAGATTTAAATAATCATTGGTAAGTAATATAGATGTAGCAGATAAAAATTTCATGTACAGTGGTGAGCCAATAAGCAACTTTAATTTTGTCCCTAAAAATCAAAGTGGCATATATTAATTTCTTCAAACACGGAATGATGTTAAAAAAATTTTTTTTTATTTAAATTAAGGGCCACTTTAATAAGTATAATAAGTATACCAATAGAAAAATAATTTTTTTCAAAATTTTGACTATTTGCCAACATGTTCGTTTATTACATACGTCTAGTCTCAGATAATGTCGATAGAACTAAATAATGTCTTCAAATTTATTGTACATTACAATGTACGCAGAGTCT